AAAAAAAATCCAGTTTTTGCCTCTCTACCCGTGCAATTAATCTTCACCTCCCTCTCTGACAGGTGTCATGAAAAGAATTATTATGTTTGGTGGCCCCGTCCTCAGCTAACGCCAATGCAACAATACGTCCATCGCATGCAGCGCACTCGACAAAAAGCCTTGTGAATCATGTATGTCCTCCGCGATTTACTATGAAAACAATCGCGTGAATTCCGCCGGCCCGCGAATAATCCGAATACGGTAGCATCGGTGCAATGCGGCTAGCAACCGCATACGATACCTTGAGAATGCTTCACTATGCATGCGCGATTGAGGGCATAAGGCAGTTTTTGAAAAGTGCAAAAGCGATTGAGCGCTATGGAAGCATAGAATAGTTAGCAGAAAGGGTGACGGGCGATTGACTAGGGATATAAAGGTGAAGTGCATTTTCTATCGTGTAGTATTACTGTATTTCACAATGTATTCCGACTTAAACTTTAGTTTTATGGATAAAAGTAATCAATATTAATCTGAATAGATTATTGAAAAGCACTTATTTCACTAATCTAAAATTTACACTACTTGATTCAAAGAGTGAGATGACTAGTAGTAGATCAATCACCAAAATGAATAACATTGACATAAAATTTCCATTTCTAGCTCATACCTGCTTAAATTGCTCCTCATAAGACCAAGACGGCCCTCCGCCCAAGGATCCTCCACCTTCACCGTGTTGATCGTCTGACTTGCTGTCTTTCCGGAAACTAAAGTTAGTATGTAAAAGATAATTATAGAAAATTCCTATGGTCCCACCTCATCGTCAAGTCCTCAGGCTCAGTTGCTGCGCTATTTTCATTCTCGTCTTCATCTTCTGGGCCTGGTGATACTCCGCTTAGTCCACTAGTTAGACCGAGTAACTGCTGCTGAAACATTGCTATGACACTCACCGAGACATCTTGAACTCAAAAAATCCAAACCTGCAACGCTAGCGGATTTTGCTGTAGAGCGGCAAGAAATGGCGGTAAAACATTCATATTGAAAGCGGAACGGAAGCCTCCTAATCCTTCACAAAGAAAATTTTCAGAAACTAACACCTCAGACTCCTGACGAATGTATAAACATACCCAGACTGGAGGTAAACCTTTGGAAGGCCTTCTGTTGTGCTTCGATATCAAATGCATTAGAGGAAGGGGCCTCGGGAGACGGTGATCCTCCATTTGTTGTAGGCTGAAATATGAAAAGAAGAAGTTTATGAAAGAAAATAAGAAACATGAGTTATAAAATAATATAGAGCAGCAGCAGAACTTATAATTGTTCTAATAATT